CGGGGCGGGGCCAGGGGCGGGGCGGTCGGCCCCGCCTAGCCGGGTGCCGGGCCACGTGGGCCCAGGCTCCGCCCCTCCTGGGCGCGGAGAAGTCGCCGGTGGGGAGTGGCTCTCTTCCCGGAGGCCTGGGAGTGGGCAGAGAGGGTCCCTGGAAGTAGCTTTGCGGGAAAGAGGCAGCGAAGGGAGGTGTTTTTCGGGGACTGGGGAATGAGGGAGAGTGGTAACATGAGAGGTGAAGAGTGCAGGGAGAGAGACCATTGAAGGTTGTCCCGCGCATCTACACCTAGAGAGAGTTATAGCTGACTTTCTCGAATCGGCACCATTTCTGGTGTCATAGGCGTGGATTTGTAGTGTGTGTGTTTGTATGGCAAGCATATAGGTAACAGAACATTTACTATTTCAACAATCTTCACTTGTACAGTTCAGTGATATTAATTACATTCATCACAGACATGAATTTGAATCCCTGCTGTGCTACTTAGGAGCTGCGTGACCACGGGCTAGTTCCTTCGTCTGTTGTGAGCCTGTTTTTTTACAGAGTAAAGGTACCGTTCAAATGCTTGTATCTCAAAGCTGATGTAGGCCCGCCTGCGGTAATGAGCGTAAACCACTCAGTTAATAGTGAATCTTATTCAGGAAGCCTGGCGGGATGCTTTAGGCGCGTTATTTTTACCGAACGATGAACCTTTCACAGATAGGGCACTGCCTCTCAGAGGGGAGACCGGGGTGGCCTCAGGTCTTTCATTCAGGCACCCACTGGGGAGCATATATGTGCCACGCATGGGGAACAGCGAGGCAATAAGGTCGACATAGAGTAGAGAACTGGAGCTGCGGTTCCTAATTCCTGCTCTGCCACTTCTTTGCTGTGTGACCTTGCTCAAGTTATTCAGCCTCTCTGAGTCCATTTCCTTTGTAAAACCAGAATAAGGGTTGGTACACGCCTTGCTGGGCTGTCCTGAGGATTAGAGAAAATAAAGGTAAAATGGAGCCTGGCACATGGTAGGTGCACGATAGGTGATTATGACAGAAAAGAGTATCCCCTCTCTAATAGTCTTCTGACCTATACGGCCAAATTGCTTTCACTCTCTAATGACTAATAGATTGGCATGCTGATCTCAGCTTTTGTCCAGGCCACCTGAATAGCTCAGTCCCAACAGACCTGACAGGCAATTTCCTCAGAATTAGCTTAATAATACCTCGTAGGTGTGTGATGCATTTCAAAGAACTTTCCCACCATTATCTCCTGTCTGAGGATGTAGAGGTGCTAGAACCACCAGCTGCTGGGTAAGGGAGGAGCGAAAGGCTCAGAGAGGTGAAGTGGCTTGTTCAAGATCACATGGCAGATGACTGATGGGGCTCTTTTGAGCCTTCCATGGTTCGCAACTTCTGAGTGAGCAAGAGGCAGTAGGCTGTGGCAGAAGGGGTACAGAACGTAGCATCCAAAGACTTGAGTTCAGTGCCTGGCTCTACTGCGATTAACAGTGTAATGTGCGACCAGGTGACTCTGAGTGCTTGCTCAGGATCAGCTCCCTTTTACCAATTCAGAAACCGAGGCTCAAGAGGGCCGGTCTCCAGCCTTCGGTTGCATAGCTAGTAGGCAGAGCAGGGATTCACACCTTGTGTGGCTGTCTCTAGAATTAGTATAGCATAGCCAACAAACAATACAAGCTGGACCTAGTCCGAGTCTTGAAGTTTGAAGCAAGAGTTCTTTACTTGGGTCTGCAGACTTCCCGTAGGGAGGGGAAGAGGTCTGCTAGTCCTCTGCAAAGGTGTGTGCGTATGTGTTTTCTGAAGATAGTTCCTGTCTTCCATTAGATCATCAAAGGGGACCAGTACCCAATACAGGTTAAGAACCACTGGTTAGGCTGGGAGGATGGTTGGCAAAGACAGAGGTTGCCCCCTTCCATGCCCCTGTTCACCCCAGAAAGCTCACCAGGGTTGAGGCGTTTAGGGTGATGATGTGACCTGTTTGTTATGAAATATAGCAGTAACTCCTGCCAGGGGCCAACATACAGATGAGATCATATCATAAACAGGAATTCAGTAAGACCAGGTGCCTGGTGGAGCCCACCTGGGGAGCCACCAAGTTGGGGGCAGCGAGTAATGGCACAGATTGGGTCCTGCCCTTTGCCCCGCTCCTAGACCTTGCCCGACAGAGTGGTTAGTTCCAGGCCTTGCTCCTGTCCACAATGCTAGTTGCTGGAGTTGAGATTCAAATCCCATTTCTGCCTCTTCAGGGGTTGAGAGAAACTGTAACTCAAAGAGCCTGTTTCCCCATTTTTGAAGTAGGAATAAATAAAGTTTTACATTGTATGCTCCAGACTGAGGTATTGTAGGAAGGAATGAGGGCTATGGGGCCTCTTGCTCAAGTCCCAGCACAGGGTTAGAGTCCACAACTGCTGCTCAGAGATAAGTGTTAGAGATTAGTACCAGGACTTCCCTACCAGCACCCAAATCCTCATCAAAGTGGCTGGGGAATTGAGGAAAGAGCCTTCTCTCCTTTTTCTAACTTTGGAAGCCGGCAAGAAGTCAGACCAGAGAGCACCAGGAAGGAAATGAAACAGGCCCAGGGATCAGTTTATTCATCTTTGAAATGGGTCTATCAACCACCACTCACATCTGAACACTAGGTGAGGCAAACTAGTGGCTTCACTCTCCTCACCTTCCCTACTAGAAGTGTCCTTGTGTACCACTGGCAAAGAGAACACCTACCTGCTAGTGTAGCCTAACAGCTCTCAAAGGACACAAAAACAGCACTCAGGCAACTCAGGTTCTAGCCTGCACCCCCTTACTTACTGGGTGAGCTTGTGCCAATCACTTCCCCTCTCTGGTCCCCCTCACCAGTAAAATGGAGTAGGACCAAGATCTTCTCTGCACCCAACCATCAGTGTATATGGAGCTTCCACATGAGCCCTTCCCATCCCAGCCTCAGCCTCAAGATGGGCATTTTCCCATCTCCCTCCCAAGGGAATAAACTCCCAAACCAGACATGTATTTCTTTCCCTAAACTCAGCCTGTGTGAGAAAACGAATTAATACTTAAGGAATGGGGGAAGGGGATGTCCAATCAGATTACAGACACGTGTTTAAAAACGGTTTATTATGCAAAATGTTAACTTTTATAAAAAGTTTAATATACATCGCATGGTTACAGAAAGTCACCTTCCTGTAAAAATGGTACAAAAGCTATATACTCTATTATAGAGTTCATAATCAGGGCAACAGAGCCTTTCTCCAAGGAGACCAGAAGACCAGCTCTACGGCCGCCTTGGCAGAGTTTGGAGAGCAGCCACCCACTCCCACCCCCGACACACACACCTCCATACTCCGAACAGACAGTCTTTAAACTTGGGGGTGGGGACTGAGTGACGTTGCCCAGCTGGTACCCAGAGCTCGCTCTGGCTCTTCAGGCCACCCAAGTTCACAGTCCTTCGCCCCCGGGCGCCAGATCCAGCTTCGAGGCAGGCGTTTGGGGGAGTCAAGTGGGCAGAGCGAGGTTGGGGCGCATCCATGCCCTCGAGCTTCCGGCCGGAGAGTGTCCCGGGTCCCAAGCGGAACGGGCGCCAGCACCTGCGTTCTGGGCGGGGGAGGGAAGAAGATCAGGGAGCCGTCAGTTTCCGCCGAGAGCGCCGAGGTGGGGGCAGTCCGCAGACTGGCCGGCGCCAGGGAGGAAACTTGGTCTCTACCTCCAGCTGATAACTCCGCGCCCCACGCTGTCCCCACCCAGTTGGCGCCAAAGGATCAGGCGGAGCCTGCACCACCCCCCACCCCTTGGAATTGGCACTAGTTGGGAGGGGGCTAAAAAAGACCGCTCCACAGCTCCCTTTACGAGTCCAGACAAAGGTTATTTTATTTGGTCGGACCTGCGTTTATTTTATCCAATCTTTGGCCACTGGGGAAGGGCAGGAGAAACAAGCCTTTAATGCTAGAATGCGCATTAGGTGGAAATTGATCTTATTATTCATTTAATGTGACCGAAGGCAAGTCGTTTACCCCTCTCAGGCCTTAGTTTTCCTACACCAAGAGGCGGTAAACCCCTTAAAAGACCTGCCAACTCTAGGATTTGCCATTTGAGCCTCCCTTCGCCCCGACCCAGGGTACCTGGGGAGGAGGGGACACACACCTGGAGGTGCTCCAGGACGGCCAGGTCAGTGGCAGAAGCTCCTCTTGTCATTGGAGATCACGAGTTCTGGAGTGAGTTCGGCTGTCTGAAAGAGAAGTAAAGAAGGAAGAGTTATGCATGGCACTTGGGATTTCTGGGAATTGCGCAACATTGCAGAAAAAGCAATCATCCCTTCCCTGACTCCCGAGCACGCCCACGCTCACCTGGATAGCAAGATGCGGGCCGTCTGGGGGTCCGGGTGCCGGCTCGGCAAGGACCACCTGCAGGTCAAGGATGTAGTCGATGACGCGCTGCAGGATTTCCACCTGGCTAAGCTGAGTGCCTCGCGGGACTCCGGGTACCAGTTCCCGTAGGCGCGAATAGCAGTGGTTCATGTCGTCGAGCAGGCTCAGCGGCTCCTCGGCTGCCGGGCCCTTGCCACGGCCCCGCGCGATAGCCAGGCTGCGCTCCGACAAGCAGCACACCGCCTCGTAGCAGCCGCGCACCGGACTCAGCGCCTTCATGTTGGAACGTGAAGATGCAGGTGCCAAGAAAGCCGAAAAGCAACAAGAACCTCTAGAGCAGCTTGCAATGCGCTCACGCCTGCAACCACCGGTGTTTATAGAGCCCGCCTCAATGGTACGCCCCTTTATGCAAAAATGTCCGTCCTGGTCCCGCCTCAGCCAACCCTGGGTGTTCACAAGCCGGTTAAATTGCAAACAGGCTTCCTCCGGATGGTCTGACGCCGAATACCGCGGAGCCGCGGATTCAAAGAATGAGGAAGCGCTGATACTGGGGAGAGGCGGGCCTCTTAGCTAGCAAGGATTTTAAAAATCACTTAAAACCATTAACTTTAAGAATTTGCCTTTTCCTGGCAGCACCCCAGATCTTTGAGCTCCCCTGCCGCCTGCCAGTCCACCAACACTGGTTCGAACCCACCGCTCCTCCGAGGTCATAAATCCCTGAAACAGCAAGCTTTTTTTTTTTTTTAAGCAAAAGATTTTTCAAGAGAAACTTGTAAGGAATTAGTGCCGCCTTGTTCCCCAATTTGCTGTTCGTCTGACCTCCAGACTCACTGGCGTCAGGAATTATCTTGTGACCAGAAGAAAAAAAATTAATTGCGGTGAAGCTGAGGTTACAATGAAGAAAACAGATTTGGGCTAGGCGCTGAGATTGCAGAAGGAGGAGGGGGAAAGGGTTTGAGCAGAGAACACTACTTATTTGAGAAACAAGGGAAAAGAAAGCAGCCTGAATCCGTGCTTTTTGCATGGAGAAAGGAAAGAGCTCCGACCCTCTGGCCCCATGCACTCCATGAGGAGCCAAATATATGCCCAGTTTGTTGTGAAAGCGGGTTTGATTAGAGTTTTAGACAGAGCTTTTAATGTAGAGGGACAGAAAGGACAATTTCTAGATAATCGTATTTAGGAACCCCTGTTCCCAACAGCGATTCTTTTAACTCTTTCCCTCTGCTCCCCCACTCTTCACCTCTGTGCAGAAAACAATAGTTTGGTAATTTCACCACTCTATTGTCTGTCCCTTTCTGCTATGGAAGGACAGGCCACCTGGGCTTGATTATACTTAGCCTTGCTGAAATAGCTCCAGCTCCATCTGAGAGCCCAGAAAAGGGAGCAGAGGACAGGCAAACTAAGCCCTGTTGACATTGCACTCAGTGTTCTTTGCTTGTCATCTTCTCACTTCCTAGGACTTTTGGGGATTTGCAGCTCCAGGGAGCTGGTTTCCATCTTGGAAGTGACCAAGTGGTATCTCCCAATGGTTGCTTCCTTAATCAGGCAGTTGGTAAATATTTATGGAGTTGCTTCACATAAAATGTGGCTCCTGCTCTCAAAGATTTCACAATTTGGGGAGACCATATTACCACAGGAAACAATTAAGGGTTCAATAGTGTGTGACACTGATTAACAGGACAATGGGAGCTCAGAGCTAGGAAAGTCTCAAAATAGTTGTAGTGGAAAGAACACTGGAAGTTGAGAGTCCCAAGTTCAACATCCCAGCTCTGTCAATAATTTGTCATGCAATCTTGAACAAGCCCAGGTACTCTAGCCTTAGATGCCGTGTTAGTAAAATGGGGGAGATGATGCTAAAGAATTATGTTAAATCTTTTCCAACTCTAGAAATCTAAGGCTTTATGAAATTTGGACAGGCTAGTGTGGAGTAGCAAAGGGCCCAGAGAGGGGATATAAAACATGTCTAATGTCACACCATAAGTTAATATCAAAGCCATCCTTAAAGCCTTGTTCTTTTCCATCATAACACAGGGCTCTGTGTCCCAAAAAGAGGTTTTCGAAAGGTTTGTCCCTGAGTATGTGTTTTCAAGGACAGCCTCTTTAGTGTAAGAAGGAGGGGAGGGGTCAGGAAATAACCTGTGAGTGAATGAATCAGTCTATGTGCTACATAAGTCAAGTGAAGAGTGAGCCAACTGTCTGGTCATGGGAAGGGAAAGTGGTGACTATGGAGGCTTCTAAATGACCACGCAAACTTCCATGGTTTGCGCAAAATAGTCAAGTCCAGGGGATTTTTGAAAAATCACAGCCTTCAGGTTCAGGGCTGGACAGATTTATGTTCAAATCCCCATTCTTTTACTAACTGTGTGGATTTTGCATAAGTTGCCTCTCTGTGCCTCAATTTTCTCATCCATAAAATGGAACTATTTAGACCTACCTAATTCATTCAACAAAAAATTATTGAGTGCCTCTTTTGTGCAGGGTGTGGGACAGGCACTCTCCATCTTAGTGTCCTTGGTACCTGAGGGCCCAGCATGAAGCCAGTTCTCCTTTGTCCTTCTCCTTCCTCTAAGGAATTCAGGTGGCTCCATGGTTAAGCGCTCAGCTGCTAATTGAAAGGTCAGCAGTTTGAACCCACCCAGAGACTCTGTGGGAGGAAAGACCTGGCCATCTGCTCCCTTAACGATTACAGTCTAGGAAACCCTATGGGGGCAGTTCTACTCCGTCATACAGGGTCGCTATGAGTCACAGTTGACTGGATAGCAACTAACAACATTTCTATTTACCACACTGATGCCTCTGGCTTGTTTGTGGTTTGCAAAGCACCTTCACGTTCATTATTTCACAATGAAATGCCCATGAGCCGTATGACATAAGCAGGAGAAGGATACAGTGGGATCAGCAAGCAGAATTCGTTCCTGGCCATGCCAGTAACTTGCAGTGTGGCCTTGGACACATTTCCTTCCTTTCTTGGGCCTCGTTTTCTGTAAAATGGGGGTCAGCGGGTGAAGACCAAAGGATCTCTAAGGATCCTTTCCTATCCAAGTTTCTAATTCTGTGAAAGAAGCAGGTTAGGGTTGGCAACACTGAATAGTTTAAAGCCAGGAGACTCTTTCTAAACAGCGGACAGGACACGCTAGCTCAGGCCTTCTGCAACTTGTTTAGCGGTGGCGGGGCCTCAGCCTCTTATTCCAAATGCCTCTGAACTTTCTGTTCCCAGTTCTGCTCCTTTTACCAGCTTTTTTCCCCCCTCTTGCATTTTTTATTTTTATGAAAGGATGTCATTAAGGCTTTTGTCTGCGCTGTTTTTGTTTCAGAACTTTTCTCACAATCCTATTTTTTGTTGAGGAATCCGCTCCTTTGCCCAGCTGTGGGTCCCGGTCCCACAGCTGTGTTGATCTAAGACTCAGCCCCAGACAGCCTGGCGCCAGGGTGGGACGTCATGCGTTCACACAGGGATGCGTGTCCCAGGCAACCTTTCCTCGGGCAGTCACCGGCCGGCGACTGCCGCCCCCACCAATGAGCGCCTGACACCCGAGAAAGGGGCGGGGCCTGCGCCGCCGGGACTGTGAACGGCTCGTGAATTGCAGATGCTGAGAACTTGATAACGCTCCTGCATTTGGACCCTTTAAAGTCTTTTTGTCCCCCTCTTTTAGTTCTTTCTTACATTTATTACTGTTTTCTTCCTTTCTATCTCTTCCTTTACCGATATATGTATATAGTTCTTCTTTTTTTTAACTATCGCCTCCCAGTGTCAGGAATCATTGTGTAAGCATTTCCAGGAACTGAATCTTCCTTTGCCAAAATTTAAAAAAAGAAATAAAAACTCAATGTTATGCTCTGATTTTTGAAGAGTTGACAGAACTATTAAGTTATACTGTTTTGTCTTTAATTTAAAAAAAAAAGTGGTGGGGGTCTCTGAGCTGTCGATTTCAAAGCCAAAGTAATGATAATGAGTATTACAGATGTCTTTTTGCCTAAACTGAGCTTCTATCTATCTACCTACCTACCTCCCTTTCAGTTTTTCCCATTTATGGAAGTGGGCATCAAGGGAACCTCAGAAACTTGCCCAAGGTTATCTGGATGTCAGTGGCAGACCTGTGGCCCAGACCCAGACCTCCCCTTTCCCCGGACTCCCTGTCCACTCTGCCCCCTAACTCTCTTTAGCATTAGGGTGCTTTGCTGTAGTCTCAGAACATCCCCAGACGCTGCATTTCCTAATATGTACTTGTTTGCTCACAAGGTGCCTGTAAAAGTGTGCTGAGGATCTCCTCGCTATACACATAAAACATATCCCTTGTCCTCCCCTCACGGAGGCTGGACCCCAAATTACTGCTTGAGACTTAGTTGATACAAGGAAAGCACAGAGGATTTGGAATCAAGATGAGGCTCAAATCCTTGGGTGGGTTATCTACCTCACTCTGCCTCAGGTGTCTCATCTGTAAAATGGGGAAGAAATTGATAACCACCTACCTCACCACTGGGATCAAAGGGGACAAGGGATGGAAAGTGCTGTGTGAACCAGTTAGTTGTTTTTATGAGCTGTGATATGCTGTAGCCCTTGGCGAGTGGAATACTTGGTGCCAGGTGAGTTTACTGGTTTCTGATAAGGCTGTTCTCAGGAATGTGAGGAATACTGTGTGGGGAGTGTGAGGAACATCTGGATCCAAGGCATGCGTCTTTATGTTGTTGTGTGCCACTACTTTGACTCCAACTCAGAGTGACCCTATATGACATTATAGAACTGCACCATAGGGTTTCCTAGGCTGTAATCTTTATGGGAGCAAATCACCAGGTGTTTTCTCCCACAGAGCCAATGGGTGGGTTCAAACTGCCTGTCTTTTGGTTAGCAGCCAAGTACTTAACCATTGCGCCACCGAGGCTCCTATGAGTTCTTATAGGGATGGGGATTTCTGAGGCTTCCAAGATGGGCTACTCTACAGCTCAGAAGGACTCATCATCATTGAGTCCTAATTGTTTGCCAAGTCCTGTCTGCCTTCACACACATTATCTCATTATGGATGAGAAGACCAAGACTCAGACAGGTTAATCTGTCTGCCCAAAGTCACAGGAAGTGGCAGACCCAAAGTTTGCCCTCAGGTCTGCCTGCCTTCAGAGCTTGTGTCCTTCTGTGCCCTATGGGTTTCCTTCTATCCCTCCAAAGGACTGCCTGGGAAGGTAGGCTGGACCTGAGAGGGTTAAATTCTATGAGGGAGAGAAAAGCAAGGGGAAATTCATTAGGTAGGAAGTCAGACACTAAGGTGTGGGAACATTAAATGAAAAAATTGCTTTCTAAGCAGAGAGGATCAGAGATCATTGGAAATTTCTTGGACATTTGAAGC